GGTTTTAGAGTCATCACAGAGTCTGAAATTGGTTTGGCTGTCATCTATGCTTCCTGTGACAAGTACTGCAATCCATCCAATCTAATACCAGACTCGGGTGGGTGACTAGACAGAAGATTGCTTTCTTTATTATTTCAGCCTTTTTCTGTTATACCATTTTGTTCTCAGGTTAACATTTTCTTTGATTTGTTGCTGTCTTTGTTTGCATTTTAGAGTTTGTACCAAACTGGAAACCCAGAATCCCAAGTGCTTCTCTGTCACCGAGCATGGTGGTGGATGAGACTGTATTACCTGCACCATCTCAGAACATCACAGCTTATGCACCCAACACAGAGCCATCACAAGGGTACAGACTAGCCTTCTGTCATGCATCACACATCAGTCATGCCTAGACCATGCATTTTTCTGTTTATTCCCGAAACCCAGTTTGATGTGTGTATTTTTACTTTTTAAAATCAGGAAAGAGCCACATGAGGTAACTGGGGTTACAACAGTGGCAGAAACTCCAGAGAAGAAGCAAAAACCCCACGCCCATCAGCTCCGTGGAGTCAATATTCCAGCTCAGAAGACAGGCACTCAGTATACTGTGGATGATACACTGAGCTCATGGCACAATATTGTTGAGCAAACAGACTCACAGGGGAAGAAGCTTGAGTCCAAACTTCGAAGTGCTGGTAGGTGGATTCTGTTACCTTTGGACAGAGCCAGGCTAGTTGTTTCCTCCTGTTTCCAGTCTTTATACTAAGCTAAACTAATTGGCTGCAAGATTACTGGACAAATATGAGAATGTTTTCGATCTTCTCACCTACTTCTCAGCAAGAATGTTAAGCATATTTAGCAAAACGTGTAAATGTTTCTTGAATTCACTCTTGGCAAGAGCATCAGCTAAATCTCTGGAATGCTATAACAAATATTTTTCACAATTATTTCTTTTGCGATTTCAGGTGAAGGATGCATTGGCATCAAGTCCGAGCCATCAACTTCTAAGACCAATGGGGGCATGAAGTCGTTCCTACAGAAGCAGTCTTCTCAGAATCAGAAAATCTCTGCACAAGCTTCCCCACAGAAACAGTCAACTCTGACCAGTTTCTTTCAGCCAGTCAACAAGAAAAGGTAAATATGTGCTCTGTGAGCATTTAAAGGACAAGTACCAGTGTTTCAGCAGTGGTGATGCAATACACACATCAGTCAGTGTGTAGTTAAAATCAGACTCTTTACTCGATGACAATAGACATATGGACTGAGTGTAATACAAGATGTTTACTCCCTGCAACCCTTGACAGTATAAGCTGTTTGGAAAATAGATGAATGAATGTTTAATTTAATGGCTCATCCACTGTTGTAGTCACATTTCTAGTAAAAGCTAATAATTTTTCTCATCACAGTTAAATGTAGAAAAAGCAGTGATATTGCAGCACAAATTAGATGATGGCATGTGTTGAGGAAATCCTAAAGAATTATTTTGTTATAAGATGTTGTTTTTGACATTTACTGAACAAGATGCAAGTCTTAACATGGCGCTAACATACTTAAACAAAATACATCCACAACGTGCTTTGGTAGAAACTCTGTTGCACTGGCTGAAAGTCTCTGTTTCATCTTTTCATCAAGGCCTTTGGAGGATGAGTTCTTCACTGTGATGTCAGAGCCAAAGCGGCCTGTACTGGAATCCTACATCAGCAAGCAGGCACTTAACACCTCGGTCACATCTAAAGAAACATACTCACTCACAGACAAAGTCCCTGCAGCAACATCACAGACTACACTGGTATCAGAAGACAACTTGTTCACAGGACTGTCCAGCACTGCCCAGGAAAAACCGCAAAGTAGAAAGAGGAAGGAGATGGAAGCCGAGATAGAGATGGAGGAACTGGAGTCTATTATGTCTGAGGATATGGACTGTATCGATGAGCAGCTCTCAGGTAATCGAGGCCAGCAAGCAGGGCTAATAATGCAGAGTTCAGCTGAACAGAAACCAGGTTTAACTACACTAGAGGCTTCATCTTTAAGCAAGAGGCAACGGGTTCATCGAGAAGAAAATGGAAGCAATCAAAGGCCAAAGGATGGTCTGGAAAAAGACCAGAGACAGAAACCAGAACAGCATGTTGTCTCCATCAAGACAGAGCAGGTTCATCCTTCGCAGTACAGGAAAACTAATCAGGAGTCCAGTAAACTTCCACCAATGTCATCTGCCAGCACAAGTAAAAACATCCAGCCTTTTGAGGATGACGAGGCATCATACATTGAGGTGAGGAAAGAGGGTTTGACATCCGTTTGTTGGTGCTCTTTTGTCTGTCTTGTCATCTGACGATAGGAAATTAAAACTTTGCATAGACAGTTGCTTCACTTTGCATATGCAATGATGTTCAGTACCACTCTTTGTTACCCTCTGTTCCTGTAGGATTCAGAACTACTCAAAGCAGATACTTTCCAGTCTAAGGAAGAGACAAAGACCCCTCTGAAGCCTGTTATGATCAAACAGAAGGCACAAGTAAGTTTGTATGCTTACCCATCTGGCGTCCCCATGTATATGTCTGCGCGTTGCGTGTGCAATGTTCAAGTCCATCCTTTGACTTTTGTCGCAAGTATCTCCTTCTCTGCACCTGTTTCCTTTTCGCCTCTCAACAGCAAAGTTCTCAGATAAATTAATAAAATTGCCAAAAAAATGTAAAAAGAAAAAAGAGAGAGATCAGTCTAACTACATAAAGAATGATGGTGGCTGGAGCGGGCCATGAGATTCAGATGAAGCCACCTAAACAAGCCTAAGCAGATACAATGTAGATATAAGGCCAGGCCATGCCGCTGAGCATCTGTGGTGTGCTTGGATAAGTGTAGGATATAAAGGCAGCTTAAAGCTATATTTGTTTGGGGCTTGAGAATTATGTTGCTTGATATGGGGCTCAGTAGGACCTCATTGTAGGTTAAAACACGAGATAGCGGTAATACTGGGCTTCCATAGTCACATTTTAATATATGTGGGTGACTGAAAACCCAACTGATGGGTTGCTGGGCTGATATTAGTTATTAGCATAAATATTTCATATTGGCATATACTGTACACTCAGTTTGTCACTGCTGTTTACTCACTTTAGTAATGTTTTCTTTGATAGTCTACAACATAATGCAAGTAAGAATATTAACTGTCTATCTGACAAAAGTTGAATTCCTGATGTGCTGTTTTGCAGGACTCAAAGATTGAGGAAGACCTTCCTAAAAAGCTAGTTTTGGTGGAGTTCAGATCTCTTACTGTGACTGCACCTCCCAAAACCAAACCAATGAGGATGCAGGACAATGGCTATTCAAAGAACTTCAAGTGTTTCCACAAGGTCAGGCAACAATGCAAGATGCACAATAGAAACACCCAATAATGCCTGGTTAATACTACACAATTTGTTTGTCTGATGTCAGAGTACACGATTGTAGAGTCATAAATTCTTGGACAAGGGATATGACAGACTACACGTTGGTACCCGGCAGATCACAGCCTGACGTCGTTCATGACTTGCAGGTGCCAGGGGCTGGAAGAGGAGTGTGTGTGCGATACTGGCTGCTTGTGTTCGGAAAAGCATAAAAAAAAAAGGGCGGGCAGGGGCCAACTGTGGACCTGTGTGTGGGTTGCACGAGGAGGGCAGCGGCTTGTGTTTTCTCTCCTTCATGGAGAACTTGAAGTAGCAGTTAAAAATAAATGTGTTAAGCCAGTAGTAAAACCAAGAACTAGCTAGTTAGCCCTGATAGGGTAGCTACTTCACAAGGCTGACTGTATCACTGTGATATTTAATGAATGAATGTTCAGTCCAGTATGCCAAAAATGTTGTGAACACTGGAGCCATCTGTGTTCCTGTTAGCCAGCGTCAGCCCACCTCCTTGTAGATGTTGAAAATAATTCTGACATGCTAGACTTTGTGTCAGGATGTCGTGAGGCATCCCAGACTCATCATCGGTTGTCGTTTACTATGACACACTATCGATCAATTGTTGTGTCAGATGCCGTCTGTTATTGGGTTTAAATCATGTAGTCTGAACCAGGCATAAAGCATCACTTGAAATTTTGAAATTGGGATTAAAACCTCTCTGCAGTCTCCACAGTGTTGTATGTAGTTGAAATGCTTGTATGTACTTCCATGTACTCTATGCAGATGTAGTCTAAATATTTGTTGTCCACTAATTACACAATTCATACTGTACATCACTTTATGAAGGAAAAAAGCCCTCATCAAAACCAATTCCACAATCAGTGATAATTGCAAGTAAAATCGTAAAGATTTGATGTTTTTCTGCCACACAATACCTGTGTATGAGGGATTGTTCCCCTTTTAAATTGACCTCTTTTCCTCTCATTGAACACCACTAAGTGCAGAGGACACCTGAAGTGAATCATTTTCCTCAGATGTCCAAATCTTTTTGTAAGAGAAGCTCATGCGTGCCCTGAGGAGAAACGCATCCACTGTTCAAAATCAACTGTCAACCTCATCACAAAGCCCCAACAAGAAATCTCAACAAAGTTTACCCTTTCTTTTTAATTTTAAATGTGAATTTCCTTGTGTGTATGTGACAGAGCCGAGTGCCCGGTGCCGAGGGCTTACTCCCCATCATTGGAGGGTCTGATCTGCTGGTTCACAACAGGGGCAAGAACTCTAATCTGGATGAATGGCTGAAAGATGCTGCTGAGGTACTTATAAAACTCTCTGTCTCTCTTAACTGTCTGTGCTCTCTCTCATCTGTCTGAGCTCTCCATTCATAATTTGAGCCTGCGTTTGTTTCAGGAGGAGCATCAGAGCCGACAGGAAGAGACAATAGGAGATGACCTCTTCAGGTGAGAAACTCTCTCATTTTCTGTTTGAAGGGGAAAGTCTTGACAGATTCCTAAAAACCCACACCACATGTCAACACCTTGTTCAAGTGCATAGGTTAATTTATGGTTCCCCAAACCATTTTTGTCTTGAATTTGTCATCAAGCGATGTTCACAGTAGATATTTACAAATTAAACCATGACTCAATCTTTCTTATATTATACTGGTCTTATTTGTCAACAGCAGTGACTTCAGATCTTAATGCTACTTAATGTTACTTTAGTTACCGTCATGTTTGTAGCCTGTGTCCTGATGTGGCATTCCTCCATCAAAAGAAAGAATGCTAGGCATCACTTGCCAGTATACTATAGGGAGGGTAACTGGTCAGAACTAACTCGCCTGTATCCATCTGGCCAGATCCAAAATCAACCCAAACCTGACTTGCATAAATGGTAAATGGACTTGCATTTATATAGGCGTATAATTTGCTATGAATTTTGTTCTGAATAATACAAAACAATACAGTACATTTAAAGACTGTCATCGTTATCCCTTCGCTTTAGTGTAGTGTTTGTATGTTACTTTGTTCCTCTTTTTGTGTTTTTTTGCTAGGCTAGATAGTGAATAAATGATAATGAATGTATTCAAGTTTCTAATGGACATTGAAATTTGTGTAATAAAACCTTTAATTTGCACTTGTCTGGTCCCTCACTCAGTGTATGTGATTGTCAGAATAACAATTCAGCCTCAATCATTATAATCAGGTGCAGACAGTATAATTACCAGAGAATTATGGATACAGGCCCTTTGTAGCTTCAGTTTGTCCAGTCAGGACATCATAGTTCTTTGGTCACAGCAGTTACCAAGGTAACAGGTGACGTAAACTGCTGCTGCTGTGCTTTGACTAAGCAGAAAAGAAACAGCCTGAGAACGATGGTGTGTGTCAAGGCTGAGCTGTTTGATCATGGAGTCATGCTCAGTCAGTCATGCGTAGCTGGAACATACTCTGCTGCTAAGAAAACAATCCAGTATTTTTTGGCAGGTCTAAATGAAGTTTCCAGAAGTGGTTTATAGGAAGCTTGTTTGCTTTAAGCTGTGCAAACACTGTCCGTGTTTTACAGCACTTAATTCGGGCTGTTTTTATTGTTTGTTCAGAAATGCTTCTTAGGACATTGAGGAATGATCCATGAGGAATGTTAAAAGCCCATCGTGACATGAACACGCCAATGAGATAAACTCTATTGTGTGTGTGTGTCTGTCTGTCTTTAGGTACAACCCCACCAAACTGACCAAGAGAAGATGAAATGAAATCCTGAAGTCCTCCAATGGGAATTCATTTCAGAGGCCAGGATGTATGTTCATAGTACTCCAAAAATAACTTCATAGCTGATGTTCATTGGAGTTAATTGTTCAAAACTACAGCTAAAATAATCTGAAATGTTTGCCAGTGTTTACTGTTCTATCTATAAATGCCTTTTTAGTTTATTAAACCACTGACAGAAAGTAATGTATCAGAACAGCCTTCAGACATTGAAGAGATTTTTCTCAAAATTTTTATTTGTCAATAATAAAAAATATGGCATACAAAACATTAAAAACTCTTCAGTCATACAAGACGGCATTAAAACTCTACATGCTGAAAGCAGTTATTCCTACGTTTAGAAGTTAAGAACAAAAGTGTTCCCTGGTTTTAGCAGAATTAGAACGTTGAGAGGGATTCAAGTGTTAGCACTTCTTAAATTATCTCTGATGAGCCAACCCTTCAGGCACTTTTTACACATCTGAACTGCTCAGAGTAGTTGTCATGCCAAAACTCTTTTGGCCTTTCTGTGCACATAGTTGAAACCCACCCATGCCTTCGTATTCACAGCATGTACAAGTTGAGTTAACTCAGAATTAAACATGGATTGTGCAGCAACAGAAGACTGTACCTTTCATGAACAGCAGAAGGAGACTAGCCTCATAACAAGTTTTTTTTTTCTTTTCTATAATGCAGTGGAATTACGTTACTTATTACATGACCAAGTTGCTTTCTAAAATCCAAGTATGTGAATGGACACAAACCTGTCAATGCTTTAAGCAAGTAGATTGCTCTTGGAGTTGACAGCAGTGGGCAGGTGCATCCTGCCTGGATGTAAATGTCATTTTTTTCTCATTTCTTGAAGTAAATAATAAAAAAAAGATATTTCTCTCCATTCTGAGTCACCCTGTGCACTCTGCTCACAGCCTTGTTCATGCCTGCTTATATCAAAACGGTATGCAGAGATGAATAGGGGAAAGCATTGACAAATAATCTAGCAAAATTTCAATATTTTAACACAAGTAACAACATTTTCACTAGTTAACAGTTATCTGATTACCAAAACCTTAAGCTACTTTGTTAGTAGAAAAAAAAATTGTGATTATGTAACATTGTATGAGGGAGCAAAGGAAGTATTTCCCTCCACAAGGATCAAAGTGTTATATCACAATAAGCCTCGAGCTGTGCATGAGCAGCATACAAACAAATTATTCATATGACAGCATACTGTTGAGAGACTTTCAATGAATGGAAGGAGGCAAATATAGCAGAAATAGAAAACAAATTGTTACTGTCACTGTTCATAATCTCTGTGGCTGTTTACTGTAAAGTTGTATTAAAAATTGTGGCATTTTATAGATGCACATATGTAGAGTTGGGCAACATGAAAAATAGCTCTGCATTCAGCACGACTGGGATATTCACTTGAACTTTGCCTAGGTGGTGTATGTGTTAGAGAAATGTAATTGCTTTGTGGTATTAAGGAAGCAGTTGTGTATCATGAGTCACAGTATTTAGGAAAAACAAACACTACAGTGACAGATGATCAGTGATAAATACTGTTCTGCACAACGGCCTTATGAATAGTTTCAAGATGGGCTTTAGATGTTAGGCTTCAGAGGGAGAGAGCCAAGATATGATAAAAAATTTTGTGATTACCAAAATACAAAGTGGATGCAAAGATATAGTTTTCTAAAAGTATAAAAATAAATTGGATGGTATGATTGTAACCATGGGTGTTCTGCCAGTGTGTAGTTTTTTTTTTGTTTTGTTTTGTGTTTAATAAAACCTCTCGTGGCTGGTTGCCTATATTGGTTTAGAAAGAGATGAACTGACTTTGAGTCTGTCTGAAATGACTAAGTGTAATTTTGGCATGAAGATTAATTATGAAGGCAATTTTGTTTTACCTTTTCTCTATATTCTAGTTATGATAATTGTCAGTTGTCTTCAAAAAAGGCTGAACTTAAAGGACCATTCTGGTGTGTCGTGTTTTATACAGTTTTCTACACATTATGTTGCTAAAGAACATTCTGGTGCAAATTATAATTGCACCAATTTATTTGGTTAATTTCTGTAAGAAGTTTCCATGTATCAGCATTGAAATTTGTTGTCAAGTGGAAAAAATTTACAATTTTTCTAGAAAATCAAATCCAGAAGATTTGTATCGCCATTTGGCAGTCTCTTGCGCTATAACGTGTGCTCTTGTTCTGAATGTAAATATAAACAAACCAAAACCTGCCAATTCAAAACCTATACCAAGAAATCTTTCAACCTTTGCAAACAAATAGAAGAAGAAAAATGTAAAACACCAGAATGACCCTTTAATAACCGTGGCTTTTTCCCACAACATGTCATGTTCACATTAAAATTAGTGGCGGGTGCCCAAGAATAGATTCAGATTCACAAGTGATAACATTTGTATAGAAAGCCTTTCATTAGCGGGAACAGGTAAGATTTATATGACTTTTCTAACTGTTGGATAAAACGACCTACAAATCATCTTAAGTTGAGGAAAAAAGGCAAAAATGGTAGGCTCAGAATATTAAGGAACATTTAAGTTTGCTCAGACATGAATTTGTTAGGTTCTGTTGTGCATTTCCTAGTGTAAACAGTAGGTAGGTATATCCTGCATGGAGAACTAGGGCAGTCGTCACTTTAGTATTCCCTCTACTAAAGTTAGGAAAAATGACTTCAAATGTGATGCAACAGCAAATTAAGTGTTATTAGTAAATGGACTGAAAGACACGCCTTGAACAAATAAATAAGCTTGATGAAAATAAAGCCCCTTTTCCACTGCCTAGTACTGGCTCAACTCGACTCTATTCTACTCAAATCTGCTTGCTTTTGGTACAAGGTGCTTTGTTTTCTACTGCAGATAGTCCCCCTGCAGTGTAGCTGGTTGTCACAGTGATGCCAAAACTTCCATGAAGTTACTGGCCCATGGTGGTAGGGCAGACTCAAAACTCATAATTTTTCATCCTAGGACTGTTATTATGCCATTTTCTCAAGTTTTGATAGTTTTCCAGGTCAGATAATATCCACCTAGTTTTTAAATATATGGTCAATTTATCCAAGTAATTCCAATTACAAATTTGCTCTGACATTTTTGGAGATGTAATGACCTGCTAACATGCCAGCTAACTCTATTTAGCAAGCATAGCTATAGCCATTGTGCTCATATCATCACATTCAGTAACCTAGGGACTATGTGATAAGATGTATGATGTAGTGGTTCACATAATATAATGGTTATGTTATGTAGTAACAGAGGCTCCAGACCTCTGTCACCATAAATTTTACACTTTATAACACTCAGAAGAGAGAAGTGGCAGCTACTATTATGAATGAACGAAGAACGAGCAATGGTGTCATCACATGTAAACATCATGTTCATCGGTGACAAGAAGGCCACGTAGTAATGGTGAATTTCTCTGACCAATCAGTAGTCTGCAGTGTTTACATGTCACTGTTTGGTATCAACTCAGCTCACCCGGAACCTCAATGAAGGCGATACCAAAAATAGTACCAGGTACCATCCCCAGCATATGACTAATGGAAACTAACCTGGATCTCTGGGAACTTCTTATGAAGTCAGACAAGACTCTCACAAGTTCTTTTGTTTCTTTGGAAACGAATTAGTGTACATCCATTGTCTTTTTGGTCTCAAAGTTGTAAAAATGCCTAATCTTTGATGAGAAACCTTCACTTTTTACATCTGTTGGTAAAAGCGCGTACATCTTTGCCCTATGACCGATGTGTACTGCACATGTTTTCAAATGAAGTTATTTCCTCCATTGCTGATGAGCTTTCCTTTCTTCTTGAGTCTCGTCAGCAAGCAGGAGGTGATGGCTAAAGCACCGCCTTTCAGAAAGCGAATAAAGTTGTCTCCCACTAGTGGGCCCATGGCAAACAGACCTGGCTCCTTGGTACACTCAAAAGTGTAGGGGTGGATGTCAATGGGATTCTGCTTGCAGGAGATGGGTTTTGATGGATCCTGACCCAGGTACTGGCCCTGCCCCTTCAAGAAAAACAGATTTGGGTTGGTCCCAATCAGCACCAGGGCCATGGAGATCTTGATTGCCTTGAGGGAGTTGTTCCCCTGCAGCAGACAGTTCATGTCAGGCTTGAGTGACACCACGCAGTGTTCTGGGAAACTGGTGTAGTCAAAAAACAAGCTGTCACTGGTGTTACCAGCCATGTTACCGGTGGCAAGCTGGGGTTTTGGACACATCTTGGCACATACTGAAGAGGCAATACTCACTGCCTGGGGTCTGTTTAGAGCACAGGAAGGAGTCACGTTTTTGTAGGTCTGAGAACACATCATGTTGTAAACTTTGTGGTACTCGGGGTACAGGGTCTTGGGCAGCTGCTTAAAAATGAGATCTGGGTCATCTACACTCTTACGAAAGACGTGTAGCACTTTGATGTTGCTGTTGCAAGCACATAGAACTGCATCTGCAGCACTTAAACCAGCACCTATAATTAAAACTGGATCAGAGTTAATATCTAGCTTTCTCCGGCTTACAGCCAGACCCAGATCTGAGACACTGTGGAATACAAATGGTAAGTCCTCCCCCTCTACACCTAAACGAATCGGCGAATCAGATGCACCTGTGGCCAGAACTACATTCTCAGCAAACAGAGAGAAGGGGACATGAGTGTCGTTCTGCACCTGCTGGTAACCCCTTACTTCCCAGAGAGCCCCCCCTACTCCACTGTTAATGCACTCAACTCCATTTCCCTCAAAGCCTTCGTTCCCACCCTCTCCCACCCCTACATCTCCTTGATCAGTGTGCCCGTTCTCCAGACCTTGTCCCTCGTGCCCCCGGCAGAGTTTCTGGACCGAGGTCACATAGGTGTTGTCAATAAAATTCTTTTGGAGGCCCTTTAACTTCACATAGTTAAGGTAATAAGATGAGATCTCCTCTGGGGTGGCTCTGTCACTGGATACATCCCTAGAGAGAGTAGAGAGTTGATGAGGAAGGATATAGCACAGAATTAAATAGAAGCTTGAGTCATATCTTTACTGTCATCTTTCTCCTCTCTCTTTACCTGCATTTCCTATTTGTCAAATCTTTGTAGTTGACCCCGGGAAGCTCCATCCAGATGCCAAGACTAATAGTTAGCATGGAGCCTTCCATTGCCTGAGGAGGAGGAAAAGCAGTAGAAAGAAAGAAAGAAAATGCAATGTCAAGGACAATAAGAAGCCAACTGATAGAAAATATGAATAGTTACAAGGTTGTGAAGGACTAAACTTTGTGGCTTACATGCCAAGCACCTCCAGGTGTTGCCTTCCCCAGCACCAGATGTGGGATGTGTTGCTGCTTGTCCTTCCTCCACTGAAGGACTGGAGGAAATTCGTAGCCAAAGTCAGCATTGGGATGCAAGAGTGTGTCAAAAAGCAGAGCCACTGGGTTTCTTGATCTCCCCTCAAGACCTTCACTCAAATATTCCAGATCCTGCAGAAAAAAGTCTCTGTGATACACTTGCACATGTCCACTGTGTGGTCATGTGGACATATGCAAGGAATTCATACAGGGTAGGTGTGTTTACCTGTTCAGTGATGGGTAGGTGCTTGGTCTCCTGTAGTTTCCTGTATAGTACCGGGTTTGGGTGGTCAGTTGACAAATCAAGATAGGGCTTATATCCACTCAACAGGTAGGACAGGCAGATACCTGATGGCCCGTTGCCTAAAAACAGATCAAGTTTTGGGAAATTATGGATTAGCATCACAAAGGGGCACATGATATGAGATTCAAATTAGAGTAAGGAAGACTTTAAAATGTGGATTTAGGGATTACTAATAATGTAAAACCATTAAACAACAAGAGTTTAACTGCAGAAGGGTGACCTATGATAACCACAGGGAGGGTAGATGGGCGCTCTTGTGGTAGAGTGGTCTCTTCCAGGAGAGGCATGTCTGCAGCCTGGGCCAGAGCTGGCACTGAGGAGGAACAGAGTGATAGAAATATAAAGAAAGTTCTAGACATTTTTGTAGCTGTTTGATATTCAGCTAAAAGCAGAGCCTAATCTGTGCTTTGTCCTTGAACTGCTTCCGTATTTTGGGGGCATATTATTTGAACAGGTTCAAACTGGTGTGTTATATTTGTGTCTGCCAATGTTACTGTCCCATATTAGCTTAGATCCTGTCTCCATCCAACATCATCAACTGACTCATGGGAAATTGATGCTTTTTCCATACCCTCATGCGCACACGGACACAGATGAGGGGTGCGCACATGCTAGTATTTGTACTTTAAATTGAGGGTCTGCCTTCTGTCTGCCAACAGAGTCCAAGCACTGTGGCACATGCACAGTTTGGGCTCTTGCTATGCGGAACGTCCCTGTGGACACAAACTTTAGGCCTGAACACGGATGTCCACACAGAGACCACATAGACTGTTGCAGACTTGGGAAGATAACAAAAAATTCCATCACTCAATCTTAGCGGACATGTGGCTGCGCAAAGCATGAACTGCCTCTTATAAAAACACACACACTTTATCCATCCTGTTATTGTGCTTTCATGCATTGCCATGGCCCTGTCTGTCTGGGGCTTCACACACATGGAAACACCCCACCACAACATGCCCCCAGCTTTTTTCTTTACCAGCCTGCCAGCGTCCACATACCCCCTGTCCTGTCAAGCCAGGCCCACAGCGAGGCTATCCTCTGTTAACCCCAGTTCTGCCTCCCAAACAAAAGAAGGCTCTAATCTGATTTATACAGGCTGGGGTCTGTTGTGAAGCATTGCTGGTGAACTTGTGTAGTGTGTGTTATGTGACAGCAGTATTGTTTTCCCACTGGGCAGCAAATCCCCCCTGATCACTCCTCTGAGTGCGCCTTAATTCCATTGGGCCTGTTTATGTCTTTACTGCCCCCTTTTAACAACATGAGAATGGGTTCCTGGCACGCTAACAGACCAAATCATCAGGGCTCCTCCTCCTTTCATACCTTCTACTCTCAGACATTCCTGCCGAAAGATTAGCAGCTGCCCACCTGCCCCACTTTCGTGTTAACCAAACCCTGCTCACGGCACTACTTCTTACATCCAAAAATTGTGGCTCACTTCCTTTAAAACTCCCATGTCTCTTTGCTGCCAATATGTAGTCTGGCTCATTTCACTGAAACCCCTCACTCCCTCCCTTCCTCCCCCTGTCTGACCTGTGTCTGTAAGCCACCCAGTTGTCTTTGGTCATCAGCCAGTTTACCCTTTTCAGTGAAAGCACTGGGATTCCACTCACTGCCTGACCTGTTTGGAGAATATCATGCCCCCATTTGGCAGGTTGATGCTGGTAATTTCCATACCAGTGCTCAATTTGACAAACCCCCAAGTGTTTACACTGCTACAAGTTGCTTTTGATAGAACTTTCACTCCCTTGAATCACTGTAACCCCAAATGAGTCTCTTACTCTAAGTGGATTTCAAAAGGACAACCCCCCACCCCCGTACACTTTTGTCCACCAGTAACGTAAAGAACAGGTTAAAATAACAGTCTCTCCCCATAGGGTAGCTAATAATAATAATCACCTTTATTTGGCCAAGTATGTTACACACAAGGACTTTGTTTCCGGTACAGAACCAAGGCAGCCATCTGCCATGGCTCTAACCATCGGGGGCAACTGGGGGGATCAGTGTGTTGCCCAAGGACAGTTGAGTGCAGGCACCGTGATTCAAGCCACCAACCCTCTGGTAGGGAGACGACTGCTCTACCCACTGAACCACAGTTGCCCCGCAGTTGTTCCAGCCATTACTTCATATAATGCACAAATATAAGCCATTGTAAGTAGTTTACTTAGTGTTTTTTATCAGTTTATTTTTAGTTCATTATTGGTATTTAGTATTTTTTTGTCTGATGAAGACTTTGCACATTTATTTTATTCCTTTGCATAAGTTTGATTTTTTGTGCAGTGTCATCTATAGCTACGAGTATAATGTAAGACAGTAATACATTGATATGTGCTGAGCTATATTAGATCAGATGTCTGCTGAGTTTTATGTGAATGTGATTATATGCATGTGCCTCCTGTAAACCAATTTTCCTTGAGGATAATAAAGTTAAATAAGTAAATTCAATCCTCTGAACAAGCTAACTTAGTAGGATTACTATAAAGTACATTAGTGACTATTATTGCATCAAGTACCTTTGGCAGAGGACTGTATATACTACATGATGCAACAACAGTGCATGTGCTGCTGTTGCATCATGTACACTTGTTTTACAGTACAGTGTTACATTTTTGACAACATGAGGCACATGCAAGTTTATGTAATGAGCATTAGTAAGTGCTTTTTACTGAATTTTGACATTTAATAAAATTGTATTCAATAGAGTAAAAACAAGGAGCAAGTCATTCAAACTGCTTTACCCAAGAGTATTAAAGTCAGGAAAACTTTGAGAATAAAATACAATATATGCATAGATAAAGTGGTATTAATAGAAATGCACAAATCCAACATGTTAGTTGACGTAATATTTGGGTTACTGTACTTAATATGCCATTTTAGGACAGAGTATACTTTTCTAGAACATGGTCTGCTGAGTTTTGTGAACCCCCCCCCATGTTTGTCTTTTATGCCTACATTGTGATCATCAAAAACAGTTACCCCATGTGCAATTCATTTGGAATAAATGCTTGAAACACCTGCGTTTCAAGCTGGATATTCTATTTGTTTTTGAGTTAGTGCGTGTTTGAAAGATCCATTTGGTTTTTCTCAGGCCTCATCTCTGTAACTTGTTATAATTTGTACTGAGCAGCCCGCAGATCGGTCCCAAAATTAGGTTAACTTCAAATCAGAATTAGCGGTGAGATGGTGCTGCAACACAGGCTATAAACTGAATGATGTAGCACTTTGTTACCCCCCTAATAGGTTACGCATCATCCTCATGGACACACAGACTCAAACCTCCCACTCCCGACTTCGGGCAGCGGTCCTTACATCCTGCGTCCAATAAGACACAAGGAGCACATGCGACGCGCCTGCTGTGTCACCATCACTGCATAATTTAGGTCAAACACACACTCATGGACATCCGCAACACTCGACCAACAACAGACTCTCTTACCACGCTGTGAATTATCTCTCTGTATCCCAGTTGCGTCCTGTTATCACGAACCACGGCTGCGTTTCTAACTATATAAATAGGCAGACACTGGTGGGAGGACCCATCCAGCTGTCCGGGGTCTTGCATGAGATAATAGCTTATAGCCGCCGTCCCTCTCCTCATCACACACGCTTACCTCCGTGCAGTTAAATTACTCAGGTCTGGGCCGCCTGTAATGTCGTCTGAGAGGTAGTTCTTCTCTGTGTCTTGATGGCAGAGTGTGTGTGTGAAAATGAGGGAGAAACCGGGTCCTGCGTTTGCTTTTGTCGTCACACGCGCATCTCACTATGCACCAGCAGGACCGAGCGCGTTCACGTGAGAAGAGAGAGGTGGACGATCGGTGCATCTCTCAGCATCCTCACAGCGCCGCCGACTCTGCTGTTCACCGAGTGGGCTTAAAGCGGACGCTCCTAACTCTAAGAAATGCATTGCCCAAATCCTATGCCTATTACATCCACGTGTTGAGATGGGCTACCTAGATATTTATTAGGCTGCACCTCACAGTTTGAAAGGGTTGGACAGAACAAACCAGAACCAGACCAACGCGGATTTTGGTCAGACAGCTGTGATACTGTAAAATACATCTCCACAGGAGAAGTTAGCAAATAATAAACACTTAAATGTCCTTATAGCTGCCTACAAATATAGTCTCTTATAAACCATTAAATGCTGCTTATTAGGCAGACTTAAAGTGTTACAATCTAATGTGGACAAAATAATAAAAATAAATTTGTTTTAAATGGAGGGTTAAACAGTGGTGCAGTTCATGAGGAGGCATAAATCCCAAATTGTAGTTTTTGGGGCTCAGGTTGTGTGTTTTGCACATTGATCATTTCAGACTGTGGCCATGAAACCCGTTCTGATTGCTCTTTTGTTGACAAACTACATAGTCTAAATGACTATCAACATACAGAGAGATGACAAATTAATGAAAATGATGTGAAGCATATGCTATGACCTTCACAGTCATCAGATCTTAGTTCAGGTGGACACCTACGGGAGATTTTTGGACCGACGTGTCAGACAGCATCTCCACCACCATCATCAAAGCATTAAATGAGGGAATATCTTTTGGAAGAATGGTGTTCATCCCTCAAGTAGAGTTCAGAGAGTTGTAGAGCCAGTGTCAAGGAGCACTGAAGCTGTTCTGGTGTATGTGCTGGCCCAACACCTTACTGAGATACCTTATGTTGTTTTTTCCTTTTGTTTGTCACCTACCTGTGTTTTTGGCATTTCATTTCAGATTTCTATTACTTTAATATCCACAGATAAATAATGCATATGCAGATATATCTGTTATCTAATATTATCAGCTAATCTTATAATATCAGCTCTGATTTATCAGTCAGGCACTGTAAAACAAATGATATACTGATAATTTTGCTGCCTTCAAGAGCCGTTTAGTAGTGGGACTAAAATGTAAATGTTGTCGTGCACTTGGTACAAGAGGATTTTCACTATAGTGTTCAAATGGGTAAGGGTTAATCCTCTAGGGAGCATAAATGTAAACTTCACTGTAGTTTGCGCTTAAGATTTTAATATTTGTTTGTCACCTATTGTTTTGCAAACCTGGCCATTACATTTGTGAGATGCATCATCTTTTCATGTAGCTACCATGTGACTTTATGACACTAGCTGACAGGTGATTCCATCCCCAACTCTACTGTCTGTGGACCAAAACTACAAGCATTACACAGCATGCAGAAAGTGTTGTTTTAATGCTTAATAAATTCACTTTAAAATGTTTGTCAAACTTTAGAACATGCTGACTGTGCAGAACATAATATGGCTTTGTCAATATAAACCACACAATCTTTTTCAGTGTTGTGTCATACACTGAGCTGCTGCATCAGCCAGGTGAGGATGAGGCAAAGGACTGACTGAAATGACCAATGTTCAGATTCAGAGGTGAGTAGGAAATATAAAAATCTGACAAAAAAAATTGAACTGTCTATAAAAGAAATACTATTTTACTCAGCTTGCGTTTTAAGCATGTGTAGCCCTATAGGAAAGCACCTTAAACTTGCATCCAGTCTCTCTCAGGCACAATTGTTATGTTATTTTTGTTGGTGCTGTGTTTGAATAGGCCATCTGTCCTCTGTCTTACATTGTTTTCACTACAGTGAGACAAAAGACAACTTCCTGCACTATGACAATAAGGTTCCTAACTAATTACTGCTTACTAATTCATAACTAATTGCTGGAAATCTCACATCAAAAATATACAAAACAAAATGGCCAAAAGTATTTCTATACTGGCAAGGGTTAAACATATTCTGGATT